ACTCCACGACGCCGCAGCCGAACCTCGGACACCGTGCTGCTGTAAGGATCGCCGACGATCACGTCACCCTGCCACCCCGCGCAAGCTTGATGATCGCCGTCTATTGTGAAGGTGCTGCTCCTGATGTCGACGCTATCGTGGAGACTGACCAAAGGTTGCTTCTAGACGGCGGCGTGTCTGTCGAAAGAGGCATTGCACGGTTTAAGCAACACAGATCCCACGTTTTGGTCACCAATTTCAGCGAGAAGTACCAGCATCTAAACAAGGGAGCTGCAATTGCGTTCCTCGAAGAAACGCAAGAAGCGAGTCAAGTGATCGCGGTCGCCAACTTTGAACGCGCACGCGCAGATGCTTCCAGGCTGCCACATCCTTTCGACGAGAACCTGGCGCTGTCGCAAGAAAATCGGGACAGATTACTGGAGTTGCTCCGTCGCTACAGAGAGTGTTTTAGATGCGGAGCATCTTATACTCGCGCCTTGTAGTGCGCCGTCCGCGCCGTTCGCACCGCTTCTCGAACATTCGACAGCTGACGCGCGCGCATGCGCCGTCGCGCCGTCGCCCACTCTTCCATTATCTGTGCATCCCTTCCTCCTCTACACACCGCGCGCGCTTCACTCCTCCACCATCTGTGCACCCTTCCTCCTCTACACACCGCGTTCGACATCTACAATTCTCCTGATTCTCCAGTGGACGCGCATGTGGCGTCGCGCTTCGAGAACATTCAACAGCTGACTGTGCATGCGCCGTCGTGCTGTATATATACTCAAGGTCGGCGCTCGCTCGCTCAGTTGCCGCTCGTCGCTTGGTTTGTACGGCGCGTCGACGTCCAAGGTCGCGGTGAAATGAATTCCAACGAATCCACAAACACAATGATCGACGTCCCTTCGACCAGCGCCGCCCTTTCGCATACGTGTGTACGTGTTCACTCATTTAACACCCCCTCCTACAACCACGTTAACCAATTTAGCCATCGACCTAAGTAAGTCGCAATTTAACACCCCATTTCACAACCACGTTAACCAATTTAGCCATCGACCCAAGTCGCACTTTAACACCCCGTTAACCAATTATATGGTCCGCATCCTCCTCAGTGTTCCCCCGAGGGAAGCTGCGGGCAATTTTTTTCCTCGAACTCGAAGTTACGGCAGACACCTTTGGCGAAGCACCGGATAATAACCGAAAATGGAGCCCGACCTACCAGACAGTCACCGTACCGCGTTTCTTCACACGAGCGCGAAGCCATCCGGACTCAAGTAGATGACATGCTCAGCGACGACATAATAGAGCCATCGAAAAGTCCATGGGCTGCGCCGGTTGTACTCGTGAAGAAAAAAGATGGCACTTTAAGATTCTGCGTTGACTACCGGAGACTAAACAAAATCACCAAAAAGGACGTGTACCCCCTGCCACGAATTGACGACGCCCTCGACCACCTCTGCCACGCTAAGTATTTCTCATCCATGGATCTGAAGACCGGCTACTGGCAAATTGAAGTGGACGAGAGAGACCGAGAGAAGACTGCATTTATAACCCAGGACGGTCTATACGAGTTGAAAGTGATGCCGTTTGGGCTGTGCACGGCGCCCGCAACGTTTGAGAGAGTCATGGACACTGTGTTAGCAGGCCTGAAGTGGCACACTTGCCTCGTATACCTCGATGACGTTGTCGTATTCGCCCGGACTTTCGACGAACACCTCACAAGGTTGGAATCTGTACTTGAGGCCGTTCGTACGTCGGGGTTAACGCTGAAGCCTGAGAAGTGCCGTTTCGCGTACGAGGAACTCAAGTTCTTCGGTCACATCGTGAACGCCGCGGGAGTCCTACCTGACCCAGCAAAAACATCAGCCATTGCGAACTTCCCAAGGCCGAAAGATAAAAAGGGTGTGCGAAGGTTTCTCGGACTGTGCGCATACTACCGGCGCTTCGCCGCAAACTTCGCACGCATTGCAGAGCCACTCACGCGCCTGACGAAAGAAAGCACCCCTTTCAGCTGGGAAAACGACCAAGAAAAGGCATTCTGCGAGCTGCAACAACGCCTTCAAAACCCGCCCGTGCTCGCTCATTTCGACGAAAACGCCGAAACGGAAATGCACACGGACGTCAGTGATATCGGTTTGGGTGCCGTCCTCGTCCAAAAGCAAAGCGGTTACTAAAAGGTAATCGCCTATGCAAGCCGTGGTCTGTCAAAGGAGGAGAGAAACTACTCTGCCTCCGAGAAAGAGTGCCTGACTATCATATGGGCCATTGCGAAATTTCGCCCATACGTGTATGTTAGACAGTTTAAGGTTGTGACAGACCATCATGTGCTGTGTTGGCTCGCCAACTTGAAGTACCCCTCTGGCCGTCTTGGGCGGTGGAGCTTGCGCCTGCAAGAGTTCGACGTTACAATATTCTACAAATCCGGCAGGAAACACTCCGACGCCGAATGCCTGTCCAGCGCCCCAGTCGACCCACCACCACAGGACTCCGATGAAGACAGCGCGTTCTTCGGAGTCGTGACAGAGAGCGACCTAGCCGCCCAGCAGCATGTCGACCCTGACCTCCTCATCATGATGGACTACTTCGAAGGACGCAACGTCGCTGTGCCTAGGGCGTTCAAGTGCAACTTACCAGCGTTCTGCCTCAAAAACTCCATCCTAGTGAAGAAGAATTTGAACCCCGGAACCAGAACGAATTATCTACTTGTCATCCCCGCAGACCTTCGTGAAGAAATTTTGGAAGCGCGCCACGACGACCCGTCTTCCGGACATTTCGGAACAGCTCGCACGATTACAAAAATTAAGGCGAAATACTTGTGGCCCCGCCTTACACCCGATGTCACTCACTACGTCCGGAGCTGCCGTGACTGCCAGCGACGAAAAACACCACCGACGAGACCCGCCGGACTTCTGCAGCCGATCGCCGTCCCAACAAGGCCCTTCCAACAAATCGGAATGGACCTTATGGGACCGTTCCCTACATGCCGATCCACGAACAAATGGATTGTCGTAGCGACAGACTACATGACGCGCTACGCAGAGACCACCGCTCTTCCGACGGGAACTGCACAAGAAGTTGCAAAGTTCTTTATTAACCAAGCTGTGCTGCGACATGGAGCCCCTGAGGTCCTAATCACAGACCGCGGAACGACCTTCACTGCGGAGCTCATGCAAGGAATCTTACGCTACAGAAACACGGATCACCGAAGAACGATGGCGTACCACCCCAAAACGAACGGACTAACGGAACGGCTGATTAAGACAATCGCGGATATGCTGTCTATACGTCAACGTTGAACATAAGACGTGGGACGAAGTCCTCCCGTACGTCACGTTTGCGTACAACACGGCTATTCAAGAAACCACGCAGATGACACCGTTCGAGCTCGTCTACGGAAGACGGCCGACTACGATGCTCGACGCCATGCTTCCGCACGTAGAAGACGACGACCTCAACGCCGACGTCCAAGGATACTTCCAACGTGTGTAGGAGGCCCGCCAGCTCGCTCGAGTTCGTGTAACGAACCAGCAACTGGTGGATGCCGGACGCTACAATCTCCGACACCGAGACACCGAGTACCATCCTGGAGATCGTGTGTGGGTTTGGACTCCTATTCGACGACGTGGACTCAGTGAGAAACTTCTACGACGCTATTTCGGACCCTACCAGATTCTACGACGTGTTGGCGAACTAAAGTACGAAGTGATCGCCGATGGGGACTCCCGTACATCACGACGACGCACGTGGCCCGAAGTCGTCCATGTGGTTCGCTTAAAACCTTTCTACGGACGATGACGAACTTTTATTTTAATTTGTTTGGACTGTCCCTTATGTTAGCATCGGGTCGATGCACTCTTAGAGGGGGGGTAATGCCGCGAACAATGCATTGGGTTTGTTTATTTGTGTTTTGCTTTTTCGGCCTGGCTGCGCCTGACTTTGCTTTTTCGGCCTGACTGTTTTCACAGCGTTTCGAACAAACGCTATCGAACAGCGTTTCGCGCGTTCCGAACAAACAGCGTTTCGAACAAACGCGATCACAGCGTTCTCGATACAATTCGACTATTCGAGAAACGCTCGCGCCGAGGGATATAAATTCCCGCACAGCCGATGCCACGACATTCAATCGCCGACGCTCACTAGCGTGCACGTCGTTTTGCCGACCGCTGCTTCGCCGCCTATGTATTCTTTCAGTTGTTAGGGGAGCACAAACTCGCTCCAATAAACTTGTTTTCCTTATAGACAACTGCGTCGTCCTTTGCTGCGTGACAATATGTACATCGTCAGGTAAACAAAATAAAAATATTTGCCCATTTGGGCAAGCATGATTTTTGAAAGAATAACTAATATTTTCTATATTAAACCCACTCCCCTCCACGGCAGTCTAGTGGCTGAGGTGCTCGGCTGCTGACCCGCAGGACGTGGGATGAAATCCCGGCTGCGGCGGCTGCATTTCCGATGGAGGTTGAATTGTTGTAGGCTTGTGTGCTCAGATTTGGGTGCACGTTAAAGAATCCCAGGTGGTCAATATTTCAGAAGCCCTCCACTACAGCGTCTCTCATAATCTCACGGTGGTTTTGTCACGTTAAAACCCACATACCTATCTAAAATTAAGCCTTGATGGTAAAGTTAATGCAGATTGAGGCACTTTGTTTCTTACACTGCCTGCTTTCGTCTCTACGTATCTTATAGTATTTTTTATTTCAGACGACTCTCTTACCGATGATCTGATACTCTAAAGATTTTTCAGTCGTAGTTTATTTTAATGAAAGCCCCTCGTGCGAAATGAACTGCAGCATTCGATGTTCTGAGTAACAGTATATTTGCATGTATGAGCCATTATTATTCGGTATATCAGGTGATATCTCTCGCACGGCCACATTATACCTAGAACCTTTAAAGAATAAAACATAAGTAATAGAGGCCTCGATCTGACCTTTTTGCTCGAACAGTGCTCAAATCACTTTGATAAATGCCAAAAAACAAAGTTTTTCAATTTCTGAATATCTACGATGGAAACTTACCTTGTCTACTGGATGATTCTTGATTAGTGACACTGCCTCTTCCGTGATGATTTCAGTGTAGTATCGCCCACTATCCTCTGGTGCCAGTGTTGAATTTCTTCTAAAATCCAGACCATAGTCATTAGAACCGATCTAAAACAAAATAGAATACTTATTAGTATAAAATAGATACGCAAGGTTTTTCAATGAAAAACGAAAAAAACTGCGTCTATGGATAAGTTTACTTATCGGAAATCGTTCATGAAAACAAAAAAAATTGGATGCTCCACTTCCGAGGATTTGTATGCATTGTTTTCTTTGAAACAACTGCTGTGGGCAGTCTGCATAGTGTGCGTACCATCTTCAAGCATAGTGGTTAGATGAGGGAGGCAGCAAAGTAGTCCTAAAACCCACAACCTTCACCATAATTATGTTACGAGAAGTAATTATTCAGGAACCATCAGTCGGTATGTGACTAAAATCACACTGCACAGAAGGCACAGAATTTTCAGTCGACAGGGCGTCCCGGACTTAGCCCCACAACAACATTGTGGTGTTTGTTCAATCAGTGTCATCTGAGCAGCTGGTTCGTAGAGGCATTTACACGCCCTTGACAATACTTTTTTATGAAAAGTTGTACATTTGACAAGGTGTGAGAGAAATACTCATTGAAGAACAAGCACTACTTTTTGTACGCACAGCACGCATTTATTGTGCTTCTTATTTTGAAAATACAACCATCTCGGACGATGGCATTAGTCCTTAGAGCAACACGACTGTAAAAGCAGCACAACATACTTGAAATAAATAAGGTAGCACTATGTATGTAAATTTGTTAACATTTTTCTGATGATCTGGTGATGCGTTCATGTAATGCGAAAATTGCCCATATTTCCACACTTTATAGAGTGTTCCCCAGATAACTAAAAAGAATCGCAATTATGAACTGGTTATCATGCAGGCTACAAGCTATACCTGGATTGTGGTGGGTATGCTTTATGCGTTGGTGTTGTGCGGTGCGGGTGCAGTAGCATGATAGAATGACGACGAGCGGAACGAGAAACGTGATCGGGTGAGACGCCGAGCTGGCGCAGCACGATCATGCCGGAGAAAACAAATATTTCTGTGGGTGTCCACTGCAGCATTTTAAAAGCCGACTGCGGAAGCATACCGTGCAAAAGAGGTCACTTAACCTATAGTACTCTACGTAAATGTGCGAACTGTTCTCTACAGCTGCAAAGCAAATCTACCTTCACTGGTAATTCCTCCTCATGTGAATGTTGTGGCTCCGCGTTATTATTTTTCTGTTCTAAAGTTCGTAGATTCCATTCGCCTGTGCGGTGTCGCCTACTGGCTTGCATCTGGTTCATTACAAGTTGCTTTTCTCTAGATATACATAGTGTTGATAGATGCCGTACAAAACGATCACATTCGCTATAGAGTTTGTCTATGCATGTATTACACTGTCGCGTAAACAGTGGCAAAGTTTATGACTACCAATAAGCTGTTCCAGAGAATATATTGCAGCACAAGCTTGAATTGAAAAAAAGAAACATTTTCAAGCAATACTGTATTCATGAAGACGAGCTAGTTCGCTTTCTTGCATAATAAATATAAATAACGGAAACAGGTAGCACAGTATTACTATTCAAAAAATCAATAACCTCACAGTGACCTCACCGACATTTCGGGTGAACGCTGCCATGAGTATAAATACTGAGCTAGCAAATTAAGTAAAACTAGGAAATTATAAAATAATAATTATGGAAGCCTTGAAGCACTGTGCCTGCACTATTTCTATTTCTGCAGAAAATCTAGCCTCATGAATGTTTATTCGAAAGCCCCTATGGCAACATGAAAGATTACTCACCGCTGCCCTTTGATGTGTTGTGTATTCGCAGGCACCGCCCCAGCTTCCGACATGGCTCAAGAAGCCCCTGTTTGTAGGTGTGTACTCAGTCTTGTGGAAACCGAGGTGCCACTGCAAATTGAGAGTGATAAGGCATGCAAAAACAAGATTTCGTTGGATTTCATCTCACAGATTCCTGCGAGTAGTCTGTTAAAATAAAATCACGTTAAGTGCGATTGTGCTGTGCTGTTTAGGTGCTCACAGTTAGTGCGATTACGCGAATTCAATTTGTGCAGGACCTTGTTTTCGGTAGTTAGATTTACTGCCCAAAAAAAGCGAAGCTGCCGTTTATTTGAGAGCAAGAGAAGGGATAGATATACGGGAAAATCAAAAAAAGTATATGCGAGAACACTTCTTGAATATAGTGAAACAAAATCAACAATTTTAAGATTGTTCCTATATCCATTCAGTTTACAGTGGTGAAGAAATATACCAAAGAATATAAGGCACTAACATTACAAACTTTTTTATAAAAGTGACATGCCTTCCATTTGCCGAGAACATTCCCGCACTATTCCAATAAAACAAGGGTCGTCACTTATGCAGTTCTTTGGAAACCTGACGTCATTTACAGAATGCTGCATATTACACTTTCTCCAGCAAAAACAAAGTAGAAATCCATGTGTCTGGAGGGGGAGGGGTGAGGGTGTAGCTTATCATGCTTCTTGGCACGTGCAAAAACAGTGATAGCATTGCCCGCGTTTGCCTATTCCTACTCAAATACGAAAAGCCATTGCCGTTGATGTAGACCTGCCGTTGATACTACAACATTCAAAGCACACGCACGTCCTATTCTCTCCCCTTCCCTACGCTCATTCACGAGCTGCGTGATGGGCCCTCAGACCAAATGGCGGCATGCAAGTCATGAAGCAAAACGGCCGTGGACTCATATTTCGGTCATAAAGATACACCTAAATGTTCGTGTATCAAACACCCAGCTCGAAGCAATGCTTCCTACGCGTACAAGCAATCATTGCGTGTAATAATTAGGAAAACGACACTGATCTGTGTCAAATCATGGTTTATAAAAACTGTACTACGTGAATGCTGATGTTCCATGAGCCATGAGTGTAGCAACGAGGTGGCCGTTGAACTAATATAGTCTTAAATGGTTTGAATAGCCATGAACATGCCTTAGCAGCGCTCTGTGCATTCTCATCACGAGTTCCAAATGTGAGTAGTTTCATGGCGTGCCTTAGGCGACGAATATTTAGTGCTGCTACCACGTGGATCTTTCGCTTCCCGCAGGCACACGATGGGCGGATGCTAAGTGCAATGGCTTTGCTAAATGTAGAATGCAGTGCAACTTCATTCTACATTAAGTAAATACATCAGTGGTGATTGAAGGTATATTGAAAGCGGGTTCCAATCAGTTGGGCCGCTAGCATGGGACCTTAAGAAAAATTCATCTTCACGGATCCCCTGTGTTCGGCGGCATGGGCGTGTGCATTAGGTGGAGGGGGGCAAGGGGTGGCCGTTTTCGAAGTCGCCTAAGAGAGAGGTAGCGACAAATTTGCCCCGTACATTGACCTGATAGGGAGGCGGTGCTGCGGTATAGCTCCGCCGCCCCCCTCAGTCCCAGAAGGTGAACCATGAGCACGCCACCGGAGCCAGTTTGAGAACGCATGCCGAAAAATTAGGTATTTAGTCATCCGAAAAGTTGGAATGGCGTGACAAACACGTTTTTTTTTCATTTTGATAGTCTGCCATTAGGCAAAATATTTTTGATTCAAAAAGACATATACAAGCGTTGCGAGAAGAACAAGTCCGAAATTTCAAATTAAAGTTTCGGCATTTCCAATACATATGTCTTAAGAAATATCTTGCAAACACAACAAAAATCTTGAAAACCAATGGTAATATATAAGGTATTGTGCATTTAACCAGTTTGTTTTGCCCCTATGTAATCCGCTAAACATTACATATTACTTAACAGTCGAATGAAAAAGTGGGAGATACAAAGTGAACTTGACCTGTTGATCCCGTTGCGCAACAGAGACCGAGCATACGTGCTTTAAGGTATCTGGGCAAAGCAACATTACCGCATATAAAATTCTGTTGCATTGTTCTTCAGCGCAGCTTAGCACAAGTGGTGTAAATGATAAAGCAAACGCTAGTTCATTGAAAAATCCTTAATTCTGAAAATCAGATAAGTCTAACGTGTTATTTAGTTTGCGCTTCGATATGTATTGTTCAGGGACATGAGACGTTCGGCAATGGTAGTATATTTGGCAGCATGGTGGCTGATTCCGACAATTCTTGGAGCACATCACGTGTGAAGGGCTACAAAAGTGGGAATCAATGAACTGTAAATGGCGTTCCAAACTAAAGTGGAGAAACAAAATGACGTGGCCCAGTCTGCATCGTCATCAGTAGGAACCGTACGATATTGACGTCTTCCTTTAATTTAGGACTGCTGGGTTTGGGGTTCGTACAAGGAAGCCACGGTCACGTTGTCTACAAAGTCTCAACTGACAGAAAGTGGCACTTTTACATTGCTCTTTAAGTAAGCAAAGGATTTACGTTTTCATCAAGAAATTTGAGGTATATGGACGCTATGAACATTGGTTCGTTGGTTTCTTGATGGTTTCAATAATTCTGAAAAATTTTTGTAGCGTCCTATAATTTCACTGAAGAAACTTTTGATGCAGTAAATCTTTATAATCAAGCATGGACGCACGCCTACTTGTATGTGTAGTCAGCACAACGTGCAGGAAGGCAATCCCAAAACGGCGTACCTTTCCGAGGATGTAAGATGCATATCCCAGATCGTTAAGCCATTCCGGAAGGAGCTTAAGGTTGAGAGGCAATCCTCTGGGTTCGGACATCATGATTACGAAGTGCTGCATTCCTGCAAATATGTTCAAGATTCAAGATGCAAATATGTTCAAGAATCCAATTGCGTACGTGTGGGTTAATTGAGCAGCTTGAGATTGGCTAGCAATCAACACTAGATATTTGAGACTCTGCTCAAAGTTTTATAATATATTTGCTGGCAGTGAGATATTTGATTATGGGCCTAGCTGCGAATCGCAAGCAAAAAGCACTTATCAAGCTTTATGTTTATGAAACAGATGCCGGCACAAATGTCCAATGCATTATTTGCAATTTTTTGCATGCTCGCGACAAGTGACGCACGTGTAGCTGGTCACTTAGTTCACAGTGTCATCTAGAAAAGGTTGTTAGACTCGCGGCAGTTCTGCAAAATATTAGCATAACACAATATTTGGCCACCAGTTTCTATAAATAAACAAATGTTTGCAGAATACCAGTGAGTCGAGTCTGTGAGATATGAAATTTCAATACCACAGTTATTGAAGCTTTCTTTCATCAATTTATTTGTATTCGTTAGCTGGCCTTAGTAATTGATGAATACAAGAAATTAGGAATGGCGTACTAGTGCAAATAAAAATATTATTGGTATAATCAAAGGATATTGTAACTCTTGATATTTTAACTCGCTGCATGCTAATCACATTTTATAGGTACACCACTGTCAAAGCGGCGCCGAGCATAGCTCTCGCAACAGCTTCTATGCAGGTATAAGTGGGGGACTATCTAAGCCTTAAACATATTTATTAGCCAGCAGTATTGTAAGAGCAATTAGTATTGGTGCTCATTACAATTACAACAAATATAATTTTAGCTCAGGACTCTAAACTAAATTTTATCTATTCATTCAAAGCAGTGCGTCATATATTTAAACTTGACCGAGAGCACCTCATCGCCATGTTTAATTTCTATCACGTGGATAACTGAATCACCCACGTAGTAAAAGGCTAGAACCTTGTAAGCCTAGTTCAGAACGTTCGATTTACGGTTTCGAAACAGACGCTGTGGACGGACAGCTCAATCCTAGAGCACTAGATAAATCTACCGATAATGTGCGGGGCAAGTCCCATTGTATTGAAACTTGAGTACCATGAACAAAGGTATTTTGCTCTACAAAGCTAACTCAGCAAAACACTGCACGATGATTGTTGCTGCAAAGAAGCCAATGCCTTTAATTGGTTTCACTTTCTCCAGAAGAAAGATAGGAGGCACAAAAAACACGGAAGGCGTTGTAGTGCACAACACTATGGGTGAACATTATTAGGAGGCCGGGCGACTGTTACAAAACCACAAAGTCGACATTGAACAGGTCCGCCACTACAAAAGTGTATTGATAGCTGGTCATACTACAATACGAGGTAAATTATCCTTAGGACAAATAGATTCAAATTATGAGCGGAAGTTAAAAAAGTTTAGACTAGGATATACATTTAGAGCACCGATCTAAGAGCTGTGCTTTAAATGCTTTAGAGCTGTGCTCCTCATTTAAGGCACAGCTCTAAGAGACACTCATTCTTGCCTAATGCGTCACCATTTCAGCGTAACCAGTAGAAGAAATAAGAACGAAAGAATTGGAACAGAAACCTCCAGAGGGCTTTTTATACTATCTTAGCCGGTGAGCCACAGTTTAAGCGTCGTGCCTGCTCGCGTTTAACGTAACAGCGCAACGCAAGTCTTTCTTTCGAAATAGTAAAACGTCTTCAATAGTGTTTGAATGACAATGAATCGCGTGGGAGGAACCCCTAGTTTGGGGCCCCTGAGATGTCTTCAGCGACGAGTGAGGCCCGGTGTTTTAGGGCCCGCTCATGCTAGCGGCGAGTCTGCCGTGATTGTGTTGTATCGTAACAAGCAGCCGTCGGCGGCAGGGCTGTTCGAAGTGCACGGCAAGCTTCACCGACAAAACACGTGAGCCTCCGAAAAACATGGCTCACTTCGGAATGCAGTTGTCGACCCCCTAGAATATGACATGCAGCCTTCGTGCGTACTGTAGCTTGAAAGCTCCGAGCTGATGCTTACATTAACTTTGGAATCATGTTCTTAAGCTTCGACAACCCAATGCTCGAATTGATTGGGCCCCATGTTTATTAGTCATACTAAAATAGTCAATGTTGTCAGTTAAGAGAGTAGCGATGGACTCTTCTTGAATCTCAGAGGGCATGGAATACACGTTTGTCAGTTGTTCTTATTTTTGTATAGCTGGTGTTAATTCTCCAGGTACCAGCATTGAGACACTTTATTTGGTTCTACGCTGCAGCTCTTTGTATACCGAATAGGCTAAAACGCCTAAATAACTACTGCCACAAAGCTTCGGAAAAGCACGGATGACATCCGCAATTGGAGCATGAAAACCACGGAGCAAGAAACAAGCATGTCGAAGCGTCACATGGCAGACGCAGACGGACGTGGCTTACCTATGTAGCTCCTTCATCACTTATTGACTAGGTCAATACCCGGCAAAAAGAAAATGAAACACAAACGGGTCTAGGACCTATTATCCGAACGACAAAGAACGCCAGACATGAGCAAAGCAAACAGCCCGCCAAAAGCGCCGGCTTGAAAACGTTAAACACCAAACAGTGAGGCAGACTTGCCGCTAATGTGAGCCGGCCTGTGAGTGGGAACAGGGCTTTGAAGCTCTGTTCTCCTCGGTACCATGTTTATTTGTGCTAAATTATCCAACCGTGAGTCATTTAGTCCTTCTGGAAACCAATTTTAACAATTGGTAGCCAATTCTGTAATCACACTTGTAAACGCGGACCAACCTGTGTGTGTGACGCAAGTGCCTACTCTTTTTCAAAACTATGCCTTGCCCAGCGGACGGACGCAGCGCGCGCTTTGTTCTAGGAGGCTGCAACGACGTGAGCACAGTTCAGTTCTGTAAGTTTCATACAGCCTGTAAGTCGCCGTTAATGTGGGGTATTACACTAAGCATGCACAATATTGAACAACAGGGAGATGGAATCAGGGCACGTGAGATGTCACAAGCGCCGGCGGGTCGAAATCAATAGATGACTCTTCGGCGCTCAGATAGTCGCTGCAATCATCGCTGAGCTTGTCGCTGGTAAGTTCCGACGAGCTGGCAGAGTATGAACCCGCGTCAGATCACATCGCCAACTCGCTTTTCGAGCGTCAGAGGATGCACGAGAGCTGGGTTTACACCAAGGCCAGCTGTGCGGTGTGTAGCGAATTTGGCGACCTCATCGAATATGAATTTAGTGACGTAATAAGATACCCTTCATAGAAGACAGCGCAGTTCCCTGTTTCCGTTTCTGTTTTGGCTCAGCATTCATTATTTAATAAAATTATGAACGAGTTTTTGAGCAAAATGAGCTACCCATCTGTGGAATAACTGCCTCTTCAACCTGAAATTGACATTATTTTAGTATGACCTACGCACCAGAGATTTTCCTTAAGCGGTAAGGGTGAAATATTAAGGATATTTTGTATCGCAGGAACTTATGTTGTCGCACGGGCCTGAGGCTAAAGTAGTAGGACGGAATGCCGTGGCCGTGAAAGGAGATGGCGGCCAGTATAGGGATTAGCAGGAGGTGTTTGCACTGAATGAATCAGTCTGCCTCTAGCAGCTCATCGAGGCTGTTGTAATGTCTCAAAATCAAGCTGACGTGTGAGAGTGTAAGTCGTAAGGACATGGGCGTACTTGGTGGTTTTGCGATTAACTCCGTCTATTTGGGAAAGTGATGTTGGAAAGAGAAAGACGTGTGCAGGTACAAAGAACACTTTTTGTAGACATCAATCTAGCTGACTTTTAGGTACCCTTTATTGTCAGGCGTAGCATTCGGGTCAGTCAGCGGTGGTGGCAGTTGGCGAAGCCACATTCCTCGCATTATATTCATGCGAAAAGGGAGCAGTCCACGCTCCCACTCGCGCCATGGACCCTGGCGCAAGCGCATTTAGTCAAATAATCGTGAATTTCAAACACTTAAACAGCGGTGCTTTGAACGCAAATTAGGTAGTATATTAACACTTAGCAAAATGTGAAGATCAAGAAAAGCGCGGATGTTTAAGTAAATAAAAAGAATTACCGTATCTTCAACTAGACTTTACGCATGCAAAAATAAATTTAGAAGCGGACATTGGGAAAGTTGTGCCTTAACAATTATTGAATATACCTTAGTAATTGACAAATTCCACGTGTCAGTGACTTGCGGGGCCACTCGACAGACTGATTGTGTATGTTCAATACTAATTCTTGCCGATAAGGTAAAATGATAGGTTTAAAACTAGCATGCAGAAGACTAAAATAGCGTTCAATTGCTTTGTTGGATAACAGTAGTTTGCGGTAGCTAGCATGGAATATGTAGGGCAGGTGATGACAGCACATCTGAAACATCAGACTCCAATTTATATACGAATAAGAATAAGGCGAAGCGCAGACAGTCTCAGATCATGAATGACCATTTGCCAATGTCATTACAAGGGAAAACTAACAACATCAAGATTTCATTCGTGATTACCTGCTCGCCTGATACATGAACGCTTGCTAGGAGGATGCAGCTGAAACTAAGGATGAGGTAGCAAGCGACGGAAAGAAAAAAAAGTGTAATGTTTAGGGACAAAAAGATAGTGAGAGAGGAAGAGAAACAAGAACGTATAAAGGAGGCCTCTGTGAAGAAAGCAGAGTAAATGGCCTCGTAAATGAGACGGACTGGACATTTAATAAGAAGGCAGCATAGTGTATGGTCATTCAGTGTGACATTGTAGATGATTTAAACATAATATTATTTGTGGTTTATGTCGCAAAACCGCGATGTGTTCATAAGAGACGTTGTAGTGGAGGGCTCCAGAAATTTGGGCCACCTGGTGTTCCTTAGCATGCACCTGCAGCGCTCAGTACACGAGCTCACAACATTTCGCTTCCGCCGAAACGCCAGCGCCGCAGCCAGTATTGAACCAGTGACTTTCGGGTCAGCAGCTGAGCACCATGGCTGCAGATCCACCTTGGCGGACAAGACTCAAAGAGGAGGCGAGCTTGGAAGAAAGTGACGTATACAAAGACGTATAAAATCTTGTGCACACAATTCGCCCAACAGCTTGCACAAGATTAAGGTAACCAGAGAAATGTGGAAATGGGTGTAGCACGGCGTGATTAAAGTAAGGAAAATGATGTCAATATTGTTCAGCGTTAACAGATAGGCAATACCTCTCAAAGAGACAAAAATCCACAAATAGTATTTTTCGGAAGCTGTTCCAGTGACACGTAAAATTTGTTTTATTCTACACTGCGGTGTTCTCTAGAACGTTGTTTTCGGTGTCTTCCATCTTTCTATCAGCAACGTGTTGAAAGGCTCAGATCATTGGCAATAAGTTTTGCCAGAGTACGCACTTTCCCGGTGAGCAAAAATATTTCACGTTCTTTGGAAGGTCTTCAACAAAGCTCTCCTTTCACCACCACGAAAAAAAGTCGCGCCTAATATGTGCAAAATAAAGTTGCTTCACTCACACACTTACTCGTCGTATAAAGGTACGGCAGGTACTTTGTAAAGGCTCCAGTCTAAGGCCTCTCCTAAAACAGTCCTCAATGCAAAACTGATACATGTGACAAGGCGTACAGCATACCGTCCAAACTGGAGGATTTCGTGAATGAACCTTCGTGATGTTTAAAAGAAAGCTTTTTAAGAGCAGGCACAAAAGGCAGAGTTGCTCGAGAAATCTTGAGGTGCTCGCTATAATTTCTCAACAAATACAGACTTTCTCTATGATGGTAGCTAAACCACCATGCGAAACTAACTTCATTAGGAATTGTAACAGAAATAATCTATCTTACCTCCTGTCATATCACTGACAAAACTGGCTTCCGGAGCTCACACGAAGTGAGCAGTTCTGCCTTATGACATGAAAAACAATTGTTCAATTAAACTGAACATAACAATGGCGTCAAAGTTTACCTCGCGAGAAGCCAGATAAAAAAGTTATCAAACGTTTCTGGAATGAACTTTTTGAAGTAGCACCAATGGTAATTATAACTGTAATTTACAAGTTCTACATATGTCGTCTTGTCGATCCTAATTGTGTGGAAAGTGATGGCGCAATTCACCAATTTTCACACGTCTACTTAGGAATTGCAGTTAGGTATACTTTGTGAGACCTTTCTTGGAAAATTTTTTTGAAGCGAATTCCTTAACTTCACCCGCCACGGTGGTCTAGTGGCTAAGGTACTCGACTGCTGGCCCGCAGGATGCGGGATTGAATCCCGGCTGTGGCGGCTGCATTTCCGATGGAGGCGGAAATGTTGTAGGCCCGTGTACTCAGATTTGGGTGCACGTTAAAGAACCCCAGGTGGTCAAAATTTTTAGAGCCCTCCACTACGGCGTCTCTTATAATCAAATAGTGGTTTTGGGACGGTAAACTCCACAAATCAATCAATCAATCAATCAATCAATCAATAACTTCACATTAGGTCACTGGTGCACTGGAGAGTTCACCTGTGTGAATGGGATAGCGCCCAGTCATGATTGCAGACCTTGAAGGTGTGCACAGCGGCTGGTGGTAGAGCCTTGTGAGTCGCACTCCATTCCAAGCCAGCGCGTCAATATTTGGAGTGCGTATCTGCGGGTTGCCGTTGTAGCTTAGGTCTGCCCAGCCCTGTGGACCAAATATTTCCCGTGTCAGGAATTAAAACAAGAATTACGTGTTGCTAAGAATCACCCTTATTTATAGTATGGTAATTGTCTGCATGTGTTCCACTGAAATTATTACTTTTATAATGTTGGTATCCATTAAAATAGCGCCAAAGTTCACCTGATTCACTGAAAACACTATGAAAAACCGCAGATGACAGGAAGATGCAAGAGGTTGTCTTAAATGACAACAAAGCACCAGCTCCCTCAGGAAGACACCCTTTTAAAGACCATTGATGATATCATGGGCGACGAATTGCTGCCTGAGCTAAATGTACGTTAAAGACTGCCTAGTTGCATTCCGGACAAGATACATCGAAGTATTTAAGGTGCAATGCATTCGTTTTTTTTTTTCGACGGAGCCGAATTAAGTTTGCATCTCCAAGAAATTTCAACATATCGGGGCAAAACCGAGGCCATCTGTTGCCTGCAACGAGGAAGATTGACCCTCTGAGAGCTCAATTCTTGCGAGGTGCTATTAAAGCACGACCACCACAGTTAACGTGGTACAGAGGTCATGCATAGAACTGATAATGAACATCCGATACTACTACATCTAATGCCAAACTTTTGCTTGAATATTTTGCTCAAGTAGTCGCAGTGCTGATAGCCTTGCGGTGGCTGTCCTATCCTGCGGCAGGGGCAGCGAGCAACCTCTACATGTGGGTGACGATGACCAAATAGAGGCACAATATTTACAAGCGTGGAAGTTACCGGGTGACTTCTACGTATCTGTGATTGGTGGCGTTTATCCACATGTCTTTGTTCACGTTTTTTTATTTACAGAACGCCACTTGGAAACACAATTATGATTAATATAACTTTTTATTAATAACAGTATTATTATTATTATTATTATTATTATTATTATTATTAGTAGTAGTAGTAGTAGTAGTAGTAGTAGTAGTAGTAGTAGTAGTAGTAGTAGTAGTAGTAGTAGTAGTAGTAGTAACACTTATTGCGCAATGCAGGCAACCAACACGTTCATTTTTATGGGTGCAATGCAAACTTCGTTGATAGGCCACTGTCGCATTATGTCTTTATTACGAAAGATCTTGTAGTCTTTTATAATTGCAAAAAAGTTATTTGAGCCAACCAATAATATATCTCGACCAAATGCATGGTAGTATATTTCAATGTAAAAAAATGTCAAAATTGAAGAATTTGAGGGGGTCCTGAAACACTTCTTCAAGCCACCACAGAACAGATTCACTAAAACAGCCTATTTCCTCGCAAACTCAACGCCGCAAAAATTTTAGAAATTTGTTGAACACGAGTGGAGTTGCAAAGATTTGTCACACACTGCCAACTCGTTCTTTCAGCTTTCATCCTGACGAAAGCGCTGGTGGCTAAGCAGGAAAGAATGGCAAGGACAAATAAAATACGTCACGCACGCTTAGAAACCTTGAGCACTTTTTCTTCTTTTTTTTTTCTTCGAAGATGCTGCTTTTTCGTGTGATCGCACGCGCAGGTGTGGACAAGTCACGGCCTCCTGCGGCGATCCCTGTAACGACCGAGCGCGTTATGTGAAGATCAGCCAATGGCTGATAAGTGGCCTTCTACGCGTGATTTTTTAGCGTCTTCCGTCGATTCTCGAGAGAAAAAAGAGCAATGATTTCTGAATTTGATAATTCATTGCAAATTCCAGGCCACGTGCTGCGCTATAATATTTAGCTCGTGTCTTTTCGATAGCGTCTACCACCAATCGACGCTGTATTCTAACCATGATCAAAAAGTGTTGCCGGGTACCTTTAAGGTACGTAACTATTTATAGCGACAATATCCTCAGAGTGAAAACCTGTATGTCAAAAGTGCTTACTAAACTGGCTCTGTAGCTTATTGCCGATGCACACTTTTTTCTTTCTCAAAGATATTCTGCAATAAACGTTAAACATAGGCACACAGATAGATACGACAGAACAGGAGGCATAGTGTGATAAAACTCTTTGGAAAAAAAAGATATACACAGTCTGCGAGTCCAGTGATCATGGTAGCATGCCCATTCAATGCAGGCGGTAAAAAAGAAGAATAAAGAAAGCACAAACACTGGCAGTCTTTGTCTTTTGCTTCATTTTGAAGGAATTAATTTAAAGTAATGCACCCGTACCCTCATATCTGTCTGTGTGCTTGAGTTTATAGTTTATGGCTTAGTATCTTTCTAGAAGAAGGAAATAAAAAGGTCAAGACAGCTTATGTTCCCAATAGGGAAGACAAGCTCAAGTTCGCTTAGTGCCGCTTACTGCCCTAGCGGAAAGAGGGCAAAGCTCGAGTCGCTCGGACGGGCTACGCTTGCCAGGTTTTCCCATTGCGTGCACGGAATCCTTGGAGCGCTTAGCTCGCATTTGCACGCTATGGGCAGTGCTCCTTCGTCATTCTGGAAAGCAGGCAAGCACTACTGCTGCATTGGGAGCTTGTACAAAAGTTTAAACGTGACGAAGACCTGAAAACTGCTGAAGTTTCACCGTTTTCAATGCAAGCAGTGCGAGAAGAAATAGCGTAAAGAGTGAATAATGGCAGTTCGCCGATATTCCGCGGTCTCGTTACTTTGAGAAATTTTCGTCTTGCACAGTATTACAAGCTATATTTATCTGAAAGAAACGGAATGGCTGGAGTCATAATAAATGGAAGCGTGCTTAATTGTAAGCTGAAACTACAGCAAATAGACAACCGCTGCACATACATTCCGCGAATGGGGTCTAGCTTTTATAGACAACCATTGGTAGCTTGAAAGCGGAGGAGCTTGCTAGCTTCATACGCTCAAATTAACATATGGTGAGTGCTGCAAGTGTTTTATTCAGCTGATGGCTTTATAGACTTCTCGTCGCCGCACAGCGTAAAACACATTTGTACTGTTGGTTCGCGCTGAGCGTTTATACGTACAGGTCTTGCAAGCAACACCCACCGATAAGTTATCATGTTGAGGTGTTGTGATGCTAGGATCGATGTCATGAGTTTGATTCTCGCATACGCCAGCTGTAGTTCCACGGAAGGGAAACGGAGCAATGGTGCGCTCAGATTTTGGTGCAAGATTGATAGACAGGGCGTGTTGGTGTTGCATATTTTAAGCGTACAGTGGTATGACGCTCAATGTAAAAAAAAAAAGTTGTCAGTGTAAACAGGCACGCTCAGTGTGTGTGCACCCTCTGTCTGTTGTCGCCGCGGCATATACACTTCAAATTTAATTAGGCGTATGTTAACAAAAAATAAAACGTAAGGTGACCGGAATCAATCTAGAGTCTCAAACCACGGTGTGCCTCTTAATAATATGATGGTTTGGGCACGGAAAATAATACGTTCATGCATGCACCCGAGCCACGGGCAATGTACAGCGGTCACCATGAAAACGAGTTGAAAAAAGAACCAAGGCAGATATAAACTTTTTGAGGATTTCACAAAATTTGACGTGGTTAGGGGTAAATCTCGGAGTATTTAAAAATATTCTCGATCCTAGGGGCTATTGTGTGATATCACGACGACTAAGCGAACAGTCAAAACAACCTAATCGATGTTCGATTTAGTGAACACGCTGCGTGATCAGACTTGGATATTATCCGAAATGAAACATGCGCTGCAAGAAACTTGCATGATCGAGGTGGAAATAGAAATTTTTTTTTTGCGCATTATTCTATTTTCAAAGCAGCTGCAAAAAATGTAAGGTCTAATTGAACTTACAATACGACCTTGTTAACATCCGGTGAAAACCTGGGCAAATGTGAAATTATTATGAAACTGAAAACACATTTTGAAATGGTGCCAGGGACTGAACAGGGCAGACGTAAGTTAAGTTTCTTCACACGGCCTTCCTAATAATCAAAAGCCACGTGATAAACTTGGCTTTCAAGCAATAACAATTCAAACGCTATACACAAATGCACGCCATAGCGTGGAGGTAGTTTGCCGACAGCTCCGAGAAGACACGAATGCCGCATCAAATGCGCGTTTTACCGGTAACGCGCATATGGAATTCGCGCCATCACCGAACTATCAATGTCATAGAAAGGCAGCTGTTCACCATCAACATTCTCAAAGCACTCGCTCAAAGACATCGGGTTTGACTCGCTTGGTCCCGCAATGGCTGTAAATGGATCGCTCTCGGTTCAGATAACATTCACACAATGCAAACGCTTTTATAATCTTTTTTAACCTTCAGAGCTGGCCACGGGTAACGCTGTACGTGGTGGGCGACCAGATAACACCGAGTGCAGAGCACATGAACGTGCTGAGATGGCACAGGCCGAAGGCGAGAGCGGGGTACCGAGCAACCGGCTTTTGCTAGAAAAGCGGCAAAACGCATGCGGCGCAGCGCCCCTTGGCCGAGGTTGGGAGGCCCATATGTCATGATTGTTTGCTTTGCGAATCAGCGAAAATTCCACTACTCGTCTGTAAGACGCCACGCGAACCTACGCCACTCCTCACTTTGTTGGCTCTTTTGTACCTGATGGTGATTGATTATGTCTGCAAGCTTTGTAATGGTCGGGCCTTTAAAACATACACTCGTTGCTCAACTTACATCATTAGATGCCTGGCGCGATTCTACGGATCTGCGACGCAGTATTACATGCGTTAACAAGACTCTTTCCACTAAGTATTATGCATGTAGGTTTTTTTTAGAAGCAGCTTGAAGCTACAGCGTGTCTGTTTGATAGAAAACCTGCTTACAACGCAGATGGCATGAATTTGGTTCCAACTATAGGCGAACTATTTATTACTTACTTTATTTACGCCTTAGATCATTTCTCGGCCACGGACAGGGAGATTGTTGTTCGCCCACAACCAACGACGCCAACGCTGGCATTTCAGCGAAACAAGCTCTTTAACGAGGCTCTAACAACCTAGCTACAACTATACTGACCTAATGAAGAGTGTTTTTTTATAGCAACACACTGAAATACTGCAAGAAGAATGCTTTTTTAGTTTAGGTGAGCAACGCAAGACAAAGCAATAAAAGAGACATCCAGAAACACTTCTCAATGATTCTTTACAAAACAAAAGGAGCCTGAATACTTTTGCACATACGCACATCAGATCACGCTTTCAGAAAACCAATTACAGCCTAAACAAAAGTTAGACGCTGTAAACTACTATCACCTCGATGGAAAGAGCATACAAATATCTAGCAAATTTTCAGCCTGCACAACAAAAACGACGTCAGCAGACACGCTAACTTATTGTTATGTGGGTAATGCATGACTGGCTCGCTCACTTCACACACTCTATCTATCTATCTATCTATCTATCTATCTATCTATCTATCTATCTATCTATCTATCTATCTATCTATCTATCTATCTATCTATCTATCTATCTATCTATCAATCAATCTATCTATCTATCTATCTATCTATCTATTTTTTCTCATATGCAATGCTCAGAAAATCAAACACATTAATGTTTTATTTACTGTATGTTGGCTATAAACAGAGTTTAGAGGCAGCTAGATAAGTGCTTACCAAATCGTCAGCTAGTATAAACACTATATGAGGTGGCCGCGTAGTTGGCGACGCTTGCACCTGTCCATCGTGTGCCTTTATCCAGAAGACCAACACGGTCAGCATCGCTGCCGCCAACAACACTGCGACGATTAAGAGACATTTCACTGGTCTTTTCCTCTGCTGTGTGGCAGGCACTGTCACTCCCGTCATAGCCAAAGTTGAGGCGCCGGTGGTAGTAACGCATGGTTCTCCATTGACATTGTGTCCTGCTCCTGCAGAAACCCTGCGAGAAAGCAGGGACACCAGAAGGTGGTTGCTGTCTTCGACACGATTCATCATACTTCTAGTGGTGTGGCTATCAATACTGCAACACAATCACAGCACAAATGGTGCACAAAAAACAGCGAAAAAAGGAAGAAGGCTTCGTGAACACTTATCAAGCATACGCCAGCTCTAGCTGATAGCGAACCACTTCTTGGAGAAGTAGCCTTTCTTATCAAAGCCGGCGGGGTAAAAAGATATTCGCTGTCAGAGCTTCCCTTGCAATGCAATTGTCGTGGGTGCTGGTATGGGAACACTTCGCATCTATATAAAATGAAGCATATGAGGAATGCAAGCGTGCTGGTTTTTTACTTGCAGTATGAAATTGCTAAGACGACAAAGAACGTGACAAAAAATGCGGATGATCTTTATTATTTTGCAAAGGGTTCCTGCGTGTAGCGCTTGCACGTATAATTTCGAGAGACAGCGGGGAGCTGAACGCCCTAGTTTTGAACAGTGCTGCAGTCCATGAAAACCTTTATTTTTAATGGCGGGATGTGATTCGTAATTATTTATATAGTAACCCATGCAGAATGTCTTTTTTAGCAATATATGTTGGTACCGTGCGTTATCTTAACACGGATACTGCGTCAAAGCACTGCGTTTACCTTGGCTAAATAGGTTATCCAATTTTTATGGAGGCGCTGTCGTCATTACGAGTGACGCATATTTATAAAATCGCACGTCGCAGCAAAATTTCTACTTTAATAACCGTGAAATTTCCGTAGAACTCAATGCGAAACGTTTGCGACAGTTCTCGTCGTCATCCTGCATGCAACTATTCACGAAAGTGTTATGTTGCACACAGAACGTACATTCAAACAAATTTTGACACCCTTTTATAACAGATAAAACAACATACCGATTAGTCGATGCTGTACTCAAGCTGTAAAAAAATGATTACGCCAGTTTACCTGCCATAGTTGTGCAATAAAAGTGCTATACGATATGAAGCTAACTACTTAATGCCTTTTGAGCGTACGAAATTCTGTTTAAAGTTGGAGTTTATCGCATAAGTATGAATTCTCAAGTTTCACCAGTGAGTACTTATCGGTTAGCCCTGCTTTTTCCGAAAATACGGTGCTCTGCTTACACTGAACATCACGGCAACGCCGACGTTGATGGGAAAAGAGCGCCTGCATTATCGAACACAGACTAAAAAAAATGAAAAAAAATGCTGCTTGAGAATAATTACGCAAATTTATTGAACAGTAAGAATCGTAGTAGCTTAACATTGTTGTTACCTGACAGCACAGGCGAAGCACTAAAAGCTCACACCAGTGGAGAAAAATAGCTACAGATGAGGATTTGTCATGCTTGTGCTCTTTCTTGGCGTCTGTTGCGCTTTAGTAGCCCTACATTCAATAATAGTGGCATTATTAAATGGCGTAGAGCAGCCACCCAAGTAATTATACGGGTTATAAGGCAAGATTGTTTGGGAAGGTGCAAGATTCAGTTGTTCAAGTTTGTGTAACTGCCAGGTGAAGTGCTCATTGACGAGCGCTCCTACCAGCCATATTCGCTAAAAACGAGTAGAAGGTATGTCACTATCTCTAATTTATTATAGGCATATTCAAGAAAATAAACGCATATAAAGCATATCTGGTAAGTAAATAGCATGTTTGTGCACCACTTTATAACACTATTGAATGGTGTCTGGTGGAGAATGCATGGTTATAGGAACAACAGCACTGCAGTCTGCAGTGTGCCACTTATATTTAAAAACAAAAAAAACCCTTACTTGTTGCTATCCATGTTTCATAACGGAAACTGTAATTGCAGTGAGGCCACAGTTAGCACGCTATATCGAGGGATATGTTGTAAGGTACGAGAAAATGCATGCCGAGGCGTTTTTTTTTGTATATGTGCAGGGTATCAAATGGTTGACAGCGATACCAGTTCATTGATCTCCACGATGTGCGGAGAATTAACTGAAACGCTGTGCAAAAGTACAGCAGGGTGCCAATGACACAAACTGAACACAGCAAGTTTTTACAGCAGGTAAATCACCTGTACCTTTAGAACTGAAAGTATGGGTGGATGCAGCTTAAAACAAAATTACGCGAGTTATGCTTTTAAACGGGCAGCTAGAAAGTATCAAGAGACCAGCATGTGTGCATCGAAGCTGAGAGTAAAAAAAAATTGCAGCATATCCACGGCGTGAATGATGGAGAGTGGGGCGAAGCATTCATCCGTCCATTCGTTCTTGCTTCCGCCCGTCCATGCGTCCATCTGTGTGACCGTCCATGCGTTCATCCACCTGTCCGTGCATGCGTCTGTTCGTGCGTCCAAACTTCCATCCATGCGTCCGTACCTGCTTTCGTCCATGCATACACCCCTGCGTCCGTCCATGCGTCCATCTATCCGTGCAGCCATCCATGCGTCCGTCGATGCATCTGTCTGTCTGTCCGATCGTCACCCTAGTCACACCTCCAAGTACCACCATCTCGCATCTTTTCATCATATATGTGTCCGTCTGTGTGAGCGTCCACGCGTCCATCCGCCCATCCTTACGTGAGTCTGTTCGTGCGTCCGCACGTTCATCCGTGCATCCGACCCTGCGTTCGTCCATGCTTCCGCCACTCCAACCGTCCATGCGTCGATCCGTCCGTCCGTGCGTGCGTATGTGCACGCGTCCGTCCCTGCTTTCGTCCCTGCATCCGCCCCTGCGTCCGTTCATGCGTCATCGATGCATCTGTCTCTGTGTCTGTTCATCCATCTGGCCACAACTCCAAATACCACCATCTCGCATTTTTTCATCAAATTTTCGTATATAGAAGCACCGCCATCCAGCGGACATTACAAGAAGTAAACGAGAGGTAGCGCACGCACAATTTCTTACGGCTTGCGCTTCTTTTCTACTTTCCACCTTTATCCACCTCGAGTTCATGGTGTAATAGTTCATTGTATTCATGGCACTGCGGCCCAACACTCGCTAAACCTTTCTAAAACCAAGGAAGTTACGCCCAGCGAGTATAACCTACCAACCCTTTCTTGTCAGATAGTGCTCAATGTACATGTCAATGGCTCCTAATTAGGAATGAGAGACAGGAGAATTTGAATTTTAGTTAACGCGCATTCTGCGAATTTTTATTGTTCAACAACGCACAGGAGAAACCTCTCACCGGCACCACCTAGCAGGTCAAAGCGTAAGACTGGTTACGCACTACAACTACGACGAGAGACGAACGGGGGCCGCTTTAAGGAGCTTCGCCCCTAAACAATCGAGCAAAATACTGAATGCACTTTTCTAGGGACGCGAGCGACCACCTGCGGCAGCCGGAAAAGAACAGGAATTTCAGATGCCCTTTGATAAGCGCACAATAGCACGAAATATGCACTACATGCACAGAACACAGCTGCGGTAGCGGGGCGGTTGCTTGTTTTGAGGCGGTTTATCGCCACGACTTGAGTGAAACAACTTTATTCGGTCCATAATAGACGCGAGTAAACTCAGCGTCACCTGGCTAGGCCCACTCGGGGACCATCAGGTTAAACCTGACGGCCCTCGTGCGGGCCCTCTGGACGGCCAGGATTTGAGAGGTCTGGTCCTGGGCCTTAATGAGTCGCTTCATTTCCTCTTGGGTGAAAGGGGGACCGGCAGAGGCGCAGCCCCACAGTACATGCTCGAAGTCCGCATAACCACCACACAGGGGGCAGTCCGGGCTTGGAAACCGTTCAGGGTACATTGTGTGCAGTGCCACAGGGCTCGGGTAAGTGTTTGTTTGTAGCAGTCGGAGAGTAACAGCTTGGGCCCTGCATAGCGAGGAGTGTGGTAGAGGCAGCAGTCTTCTTGACAGATAGTGGTGCTTGCATATCTCGTTGTACGAGCAGAGAGGCTCAGGTCGCCCAGGAGATGACGCGTTACCCGGCACACGGTCAGTCAAACCTCGCGCAGCCGAGTGCGCCTCCTCGTTGGGATTGAGCGAGGCACCCTCAATGGTTCCAAGGCGCGCAGGAAACCAGACCAATGAGTGATTTTTGACTTGAAAAAAAAAATCACAGCATATCCATGGAGTGAATTGTGATGAGTGGGGCGAAGCGTCCGTCCGTTCATCCAGCCGTGTGTCCATCCGTCTGAGGATGCGTCCATGCGTCCGATCGCGTTCGAGAATGCAGACGGCGCGCGGGTACCACAGACGAGACGCGAGCCAATGAAGCCGTGTGCAAGCGCCCTGAACACGCCCGCTGCTCTGCTCCACCCATGCTCCACCAACGATCCGCCACGTACGGTGACTATCCAGAAAACAGAGAGGCCCTCGTTGACAAAGCGCGCGCAGCAACCAATCGGAGATTAGCGGCACTTCAAAGAGCAGGGGCAGAGTAACGCCATCTAGAAACTGAGACGAGAATGCGTCATTCATTTCGTTTGCCTTCCTAGTTTCTCGTCTGTTTTTATTAAGGTTACGCGTGACTAGTCCCAATGTTAGACTATAAAGAACTTCGCGCCTAAAAAAAAAGAGTGAAAAAGAACCCAGCAACCCCACCTGTTGCGGATCTTCAAGGTTGAGCCTTCGATGTGGTGTTTTTGTTGGCACATCAAGCCCGACGCTTGCGCTGAATTTGTCTAATACAAAAGCCCAGCTCGTAATACAGAGAGATGCGTCCGTATTTGTACACAGTAAGCAGCAAAGAATCGAAGTGCGGAAAAGTGCTGCATTTCGTCCCCGCAACCAACAGTTAGTCTGCGGAGATATCAAATGGAAAATAAGGGCGCCGTGTGGAGCAACGTTTATTCGCACGAAGCTTTTTCGGTGCAGTGGGGGCCTCGAAGGATGAGTCAGCATGTGCGCAAACAGATAGTTCCTGAAATAAATCAGCTGTTAACAGTTTATTTAGCCTAAATGGTCGTGGCAACTACGGAAACTA